CTGGGCTACACGGCGCAGGCAGCCCGGGAAGTTCGCATCATGCAGTTCTGTCACACCCTGAGAGAGTTTGCACTCGAGTATCGGACCTGCCGGGAACGAGTATTGCAGCAGCAGCAGAAGCGAGCTACCTACCGCGAGCGCAACAAGACCCGAGGGCGCATGATCACCGAGGTAAATGCCCTTTAGGTCTTGCCTGCCACCCCAAGGTTCCTTTTTCTTGCTCCTAACTACTCTTCTTCCCGTTTAGACAGAGAAGTTCTCAGGAGTGGCTGGGGAAGCCCCCAGTAACCTGTCTGTCCCAGTGGCCGTGGGCAGTGGACCAGGACGGGGTGATGCCGACAGTCATGCCAGTATGAAGAGTCTGCTTACCAGCAGGCCGGAAGACACCACGCACAGCCGGCGCAGCAGAGGTAGGGTTTGTAGCAGCTGCTAGGGAAATGTGTTCTAATCTACCTTAGCCTGATTTTCCTCCCTGGTCTCCCTTAGGCACGGTCCAGAGCAGTTCCCCAGTCACACACACAGCAGTGGGGCCCTCCACTCCATCCCCTGAGGAGACTTCAGGTTCCGGTTTACCCAGTGATACATCCGATGAGATAATGGATCTGCTGGTGCAGTCAGTTACCAAGAGCAGTCCCAGAGCCTTAGCTGCTCGGGAAAGGAAGCGCTCTCGTGGCAACCGCAAGTCCTGTGAGTATCCCCTTACAAGCCCACTGACCCCCCCCAATTCCCGACACCTCCCCCCCAACCTGTGACCCTGCTCTGTCACTACAGTGAGACGGACACTGAAGAGCGGGCTTGGAGATGACCTGGTGCAGGCACTGGGACTAAGCAAAGCTCCTGGCCTGGAGGTGTGAGCGTGCTACCACCAGGAAATCTATCTGGATACAGCTACAGTACAAGAGACTGAGCACAAAGAGGGCCTGGAGTAGAAATCTGGTTCAGAAGCCTGCACCCAGGGAACCAGTATTGTGATCAGTATTAGATGTGTGTGTGTGTGTGTGTTTGTGTGTGTGCATGCGCGCGCGTGTGTGTTTATGCATGCACGTGTATTCTGCATGTGCGAGTTCCCTATTTGGAACAAAATAATAAAGTTTACCTAGCTAATCCAAGAGCCTTTTTCCTCTTCGAAGGTCTCTGCCTAGCTGAGCCAAGAAAGAAGTAATATAGGACTAATTTTTCCTACTTTGTACATTATCATCCACACAACCATTAGCCACATTCTAAACAATTTATTTAGTTATCCTATATTTCATAATTCAGGCTGCTTTTGGCCTTTCATTGCTCCAGGCATGGGGCCATGCAGCCTGATAGAACCAACCAGTGCCTAGCAGTCTGTGGCCACAGTAATGATGGCTATAACCGCTTCATCTGCCGCCGCTCCTGTCGGCGTTGTCGTTTCTCATTGTGCTCTGGTGCTGGGGCTCCGCTGTCTGCTGTGAACCAGGGGCCCAGCACATTTACCCACAAGAGGTAAAGGGCCCGGCCGGGAGCCTAAGACACAAAAGGTAACTTGAAGCCAGTTGCAAAGACTAGCAACGAATGAAAGAATGGTGGTGGTGGGGGGCAAACTAAGCTTTCTTTAGCGACCCAGCCCTCCAGCCCATGCACGTACCAGAAGCCAGAAGGACCAGACGTAGAGGGAGAAGCAGCTGAGCACCTGAACAATGGCTGTCAGCAGGATCACATCTTTAAGGTGCCTGTGGACAGAAGGAAGGCTGCCAAGGATAGTAGACTGGCCCTAGTTCTGCCCCTTCCATACTGTTCAAGTTCAAAGTAGTTGTGAGTCTTGGGCTGTGTGGGCCCCAGCGCCCCAGCCCTGGGGCCGCTCACCTGGGCTGGCGATGGGGGACACTCACTCTGCCATGCCCTGCTCCATGTTGAGGTCCATGCCGCCATCCATCAAGGACCCATCCTCAGAGAAGGCTGCCCGAGCCATTGAACTCATAGAATGGTAACTGGCCCCATATACTGCCAAACTAAACCCCAGGGCCATCTGCAAAACAAGAAGAAGTACCAAAGGCTAGGCACTGACCCTGGGCACTCGTTTACTTTCCAGTATGGGGGTATGTTTTAACTCTGGCACAGTGGGTGCACCTTAATTTACTACTATTACAGTGAGCAATTGGGTCGCCACAGTTACTGGCCTGCTTCCCTGGCCAGGCCATAGCCTGGTGGGAATTCTGTTCCTGCAGAATTCCAGAGCTGCTGCCACTAAAGGCAGCTTTAACTAATTTTCTATCTTTTTTTTGTTTTTTTTTGGTTTTTCGAGACAGGGTTTTTCTGTAGGTTTGTAGCCTGTCCTGGAACTAGCTCTTGTAGACCAGGCTGGCCTCGAACTCACAAAGATCTGCCTGCCTCTGCCTCCGGAGTGCTTGGATTAAAGGTGTGTGTTGCCACTGCCCAGTCTCATTCTAATTATAAATAAGACTTGAGACTCAAAGGCTGTGGTGAAAACCTGCTAGCTCAGAAAGGCTGAGTAGCAGCTAACTAACCTCTCCCAAAGAGCCTCCCTCAGCTCCACCAAACAAAAAAAGCCACACCACTCCAAATCTGTCCCTACTCCTCCTGGTATGTCTATCTCTCCCAGATGCCCTCTGATGTTCTATGATGACCTTTTTTGTCAACTAGTTGCTAACAGCCTCCTGACCCACAGTCAATTTAATTTAATTAATGCCAAAGCAAACTCAGGGTTCACAGTGTGAGCAAATACCCCACAACAGGGATGCTTACCCAGGCCCAAAATGAGGCAGATGAATAGAAGAAAACCAAGGTCACGAGGCAGTATATGGCCTGCAAGCAAACACAGGAGGTGGGGTTGAAAGCTGCCCCCAAATTATGGGCTTTCCTAAACGCTGACCAAGTGGTAAAGGGGCTCTGCTTTCTGAGTCGGGCAATTCTTATACCCATGATAGTCCAGGAAAAGACACCTTAGTACAGAGTGAGGACAGTCAAACCCAACTGGACTCACTGCTTCATTTCTTTATGTTCTAATTCATACTTCATCTGTGCCCAGCACTTTTCTTCTTCCTTCCTTCCTTTCCTTCCTTTCCTTTCTTCCTTTTTGGTATTTCAAGGCAGGATTTCTCTGTGTAACAGCCTTGACTGTTGTGGAACTTGCTCTGTAAACTGTAAACCAGGCCTCAAAACTCACAGAGATCCGCCTGCCTCTGCTTCCGGAGTGCTGGGATGAAAGGTCAGTGTGTCACCACCTGCCGGCACTTGGCTGCTTTTTAAAAAATGTTTTAAGATATATTTTATGCTTGAGTGTTTTGCCTGTGTGTATGTGTGTGCACCACGTGTCCACAATTGTGCCTGGTACCATAGAGGTCAGAAGAGGGCACCGGATCTCCTGGAGCAGATGGTTGTGAACTACCGTGTAGTTGGGTAGGGTGCCAGGAATGGAACCCAGATCCCCTGCAAGAGCACCAAATGCCCTTAACCACTCAGCCCCTGGATACTTGGTGGGTGTATGTGTGTGTGCATGTGTGCGTGTGCAGTGCTGGTGATCAAACCTAGGCAAGGGCTCAGCCGCTGAGCTGCACTTTCTGTTCTCACTTCTCTTTCCTGGAGACTTGAGTCTTGCTTTGTTGGCCTCAGTCTTCCTAGTAGCTAGAAGTACAGTTACATACCACTATGGCCGGCTTCTCATCCCCCCCCCTTTTTTTTGAGATGAGGTTTCTATGTAGACCAAAGCAAACTTCAAGTTTCCATCCTCGACTGTCACTTACCAGCACTCCTATTCAGACAGGTCTAAGGGCGTGGAAAACACGAGGCAGGCAACTTACATTGGCTCCCAGTATGATCCTCAGATAAAACTTCAGAGTTTCTTTATTCTCTTCAAATATCTGCTTCTTCCCTCTTGTACCCACTTTGCCTTTGGGCTGCAGAGGGAGGATGAGATGCTGTCAGAGGGTTTTTTGTTTTGTTTTGTTTTTTTGCCTCAGTCCCTGAGATGCCTACCACTCTTCTAGTCCATCCTCCCTCTACAGTGAAGACACCATCTTTACCCCCAGCTATGATCGCCTAATGTTCTCCCTCAAACAATCCAAAGTACGTTAATATCTTCTTTGGCTCTCCTGGTAAGGTTCGGATATGGGCTGAGGACCTCTCCGGGGGAACTCCAGAGGAACTTGATGGCGTCCCTCTCTAACCTCTGGGGGAGTAGCTCAAATCTGGAATTGACAACTGCGCCTCTCCCCCCCACCCCGCCCCGCCGCGTCCAACACAAATACTAGTTCTGGTATATTACTGCGCTGCTACTCTCCCCGCAACCCACTCGGTTCTAGTACAGTCCACTGGATGACCGCCCCTCTGGCCCAGTGCCTTATGCCTTCATGTCCTTACTGTTTTCACTTTCCCAACACCGGGAATGCTTTGCCGGTGTGGACCCCGCCCTACCCACCGTCCTTACCGCCATGGTGCGATGCAAATACCCAGCCTCGGAAACAAGGGCGAGTATCTGGAACAGCAGTCAGTAGACACGACATCGGCAGCCCATGCACTTCCGGTACAGACCGACGTCGTCAGGATTCTGGACGGAAGTGGATTCCATTTCCTTCTCAGGCCCCGCCCCAGAAGCAAGGGGACTACACTTCCCAGAAAGCCGTGCGCGGGGGCGGAGACGGCAGAGATGCGATGGCGGACTCGCTGCCCCTGGAGGTGAGAGGAAGCGGTCCTCAGGCCTGGGTCGGGGACAGGCCCCGCCTTCGGGGTCCGGAGCTCTGGGGAAGGGCTGTCTGACAGCTCGCCCGGCACCTCCCGCCAGGCGGAAACGAGCCGCCCGGCGGATGCCAGGACCTGCAAACTCTGGGTAACAGCCCGCTTTGGGGCCACTTCGACCCCTTCGGTTGGGATACCATCCTCTCCTTCCCCACTGACCTCAGAAGATGACTGCTCTGTCACCTCAGGGGACACTCTACCCATCTCCTTTCCTTGAGATGGCCGTCCCCTCCCCCTCAGTTCTAGAAGATGTCCGCTCCACCATCCCTGAAGGGTAATCAATCTTATCCCCGTTGGTCCCTTGGAATGGTCGCTCCATTTCCTCTGCCCCTCCCCCATCGTCCTCGCAGTTGGAAATAGACTGCACCCTCCCCATCTATTCTGGGGACAGTCGCCGAGGTCGTTAATCTAAGACATGCCTGTTCCTCGTCCTAGACCCCTAGTGATGGCTGCCCCTGTATTTTTCACTTCATGGGATGTTTGTTCCGTTAGCTAGGGGCAAGACTGCTCTGCTCTCATTGGCAAGAAGATGCAGGTACAGGCTTTGTGCCTTGTGCCTTTTTAGAAATGGCTTCTCTATCCCTTTTGCCCTGGGGATTGACAGCCCCCTCCCATTACCCAAGAAAGTCAGGTCACTTTTCCATGAGTCCTAGAATGTGCCCTCTCCTTAGCAGGAGTAGGGCCTGCAATGACATCCTATTCCCTTTTGGCCCTAGAGGTTATCCATTCATCCCTGTATATCCCATGGGTGACCAGTAGTAGTCCCTTGGGGTGGGCTCGTGGGGTGCCCACTCCACCCTTACCTCCTTTAATACCAGAGAGGTTACTCCTTACTCAGCTTAATGGATTATGACCCTCCCCTTGAAGACACATTTCCTTTGCTCTTTGCTCCCAGGGTTGATCTTCCCAGAAGATAGGTCAGCCACTCTGGTAGCCCAGTTTTCCCTCCTAGCCCCCTAAGGATGGGGACTTGGTCAACACTCTTCCTCATGCCTCTCCTCTCTGGTCCTAGTCATTCTCCTCGCAAAAATAATCTGCTTCATCTCCCATCCCTTCCCTGAGCAAACCTTTGGTGAAAGCAGAGGTAAAGGACTCTCATCTTTAACCCAGTAAATACTGGCGGAGTACTGCCTATACACTTAGCCTCTGAAAAGTGGGCTAGTGAAGTCACTTCGGAAGGACTTCCCAGAAAGAACCTCACATAAGGAAAAGAAAATAGACTTGCTCTATTGGTAGGGAGGATGGACTGGGGATGTTCTGGGACCAGCAGACCCATCCCGGCATGGAGGTCTGGCAGTGTTGAACCAGGAGCGGAGATTTTGTTCTGAGATTATTGGGAAACCCAGAAGGGGTAGTGAAAGTGGAAACAAGCTTTTGGAAAATTAACTCTGTGACTGTATAGAATGGGTTAACAAGAATGGATGTAGAAACGAGGAGGCTGTACAAGGAAGCTAGGTCTAGGGGGATAACTTTTGGAGCTATTAAGATGGTGGAGTTGCTAAAGTTGAAGTGTTAGTAGCAGCTGTCTGGCAAACACTTATGGACCATCTAGTCCCTATAAGACTGATCTAGATTATTTTTAAATGTCTTCATTTCATACATATAGAAACTGAAGCTCAGAGAAGTCGTGTCCTTTGGAGTTACTCAGCAGAAAGTAGTGGAGCTAGGATTTGATGAATCTGGGTTAGCCTGGTCTGAAACTTCAGTTTTAAAAGTAAAGAATGGAAGACCATGAGTCCAGGTGTCACTAGGGGCCTCAGATTGGGAGTCTAGGCTGCAATAAAGAGTAAAGTTGGACCAAGGGCAAAAAATAACAATTTGGGTTGAGATTAAGGTTGAGAACTCTTTGAGTGTTGGACCCTGTAGACAATTGGTACGAGACCAATGCTTGGTTAACCTGACAACGTAAACCATTAAATAGTTGACTGCTCTTGTACAAGTAAACAGAAAATCAAAAAACTGAACCTTGGGAGTCATGTGGAGAATCCAGAAATAGGGCAGCTAGCATGGTAAAGGCTTAGCAAACATTGTCGTAGTCCTTGAGGAGGAAAGTTTCTAAGAGAAAAGGACAGTTAATAGAAGGTTGTTCCTGCCTCCCGAGTGACCCCTTCCTCAGCCCCAGCTAGAGCCACCAACCTTACCACTTACAGACTCACAGAGCATAGTTGGAGGGAGGAGTGGAGTCTCCCAAACTTGCAGTATTGTCTACCTTAACAGGTAGCTGAGAAAATAAGCTGATAATAGAGAAGATGAGGGAAGAATAGGGGTCCCAAGGCCATGCACCATGGCTCACACTACACTTCTGTCACATGGGATATAAGTCTACTAAGACAGGAGAAGGCTGTGCCAGGTATAAGCCAGTCTGGCTACATAGTGAGTTCCAGGACAGCCTAGGATACATAGTGAAACCCTGTCTAAATGAAGAAAAAAGGAGCAGGATTAGACTAATGTTCTATATCTATGGAAAATGCTGTGTTTTGTAACTTCTCACAAGAACCTATTTAAATCTCAGCGCATTTGCCATTTCACAGACAAAAACAAGGCTCAAGGCTAGCCAAGTGGAAACTTGCACTAGGTTTGTCTGGCCCCCAGTGCCCAGTCTGTTTCTACCAAACCGGGCATGAATTCTTACTCTTCTTACTTGGCACAAACCTGAACTTGGAAGTGGCTCACGCTAGGTTCATTCTCATGAGATCTTCCTGGAGGCTGGAGAAGGGAAGTCAACATCTCCTGAAGCTTTGGATCCAAGCTGGACTAAAAGCTAGTGCTCTGATGTATTTGGGTTCTAGAGGCCTTCCAGTTCTAACAGCCCTCAAGTACCTTGTCTTTTCCCCCCAGATGCTCACATATATCCTGAGCTTCCTACCTCTGTCAGATCAGAAAGAGGCCTCCCTCGTGAGTCGGGCTTGGTACTGTGCAGCCCAGAATGCCCTTCGGGAGGTAAGGTACCCACCTCACTTGGCTCATTCTGAATTGTCCCTCACTTCAACTTGCTTGTGGCCCTGCTTCTGTATCATCTATCCATCCATCCACATATACTCATACATTAATACATACTAGTCTTGGGGTACAGAGCTTGGGGTGTATAGGTGAATAAAACCTAGTCTCCCTAAGGAGCATATTGTCCAATGAAGGAAAAAGATAGCATAAATGATTGTGGTACTGTTTGTTCAGTACCATAGCACTCAATGAAAAGGTGAAACACAGATAAGGGCACCCCAATGAGATCATCCAGCTGTATCAGGAAAGGCTTGCGAGAGCAGGAGGACAATACATGTTGGTCTTCTAGAACTGGCATCAAGGTGTGGAAGTTCTGAAAACAGTCACACAAATTCCAAATAACTAGATTGAGTTTTATGTGGGGTGTGGTAGGAGACTAGACCGTGGGCAGATTGCAGGGGGCAGATGTGCAGGTAGCAGAGATCAGGCTTTCTCCAGTTACTGTTGTGTTCAAGCGGGTGAGGCTGAGTGTGGGAGGTGGCCCAGACGGTCTTGTGTTGATTTTGATTTAATTATCGGTGAGATTAATTTTTTTCCTTTTCCTTATCAGCAATTTTGTTCTTTATGTACTTAACTGGTAGGGTTACTTGCCCATTTTTATGAACTTTTTATGTAAAGATTAATTCTTTATATATTTGTCAAAATATATTTCTGATATGTTTGCTCTTTCATTTTATTTGTAGATAACTGTTTTATTTATGAGATATAGAAATTAAACTTCTATGTTGTTGATTATTTTCTTTTTCTTCCATGGTTTTTTAAAGATCCCTTGCCTGCCAGAGATTTCATCAATGCATGCTCATATTTTTATTCTAGAGTACTGATTGGCTCAACAAAAATAAATTATTTCTGTTATGGTTTTAATGTTTTGTTTTGTTTTCTTTTCTTTTTTTTAAGTTTAGTTTCTTTGGATAGGGTCTTACAGTGTAGTGCAGGTTAGCTATGAACCACCAGCCTCAGCCTTCTGAGGCTTAGATTACAGACATGAGCCAGCACACCTGGATTGGCTTTACCTTTTATTGGTGAGAACTGTGTTTTATTCATGAAACTTATTTTAATTTGTATGATAAAGTATGAAGCTGATCTGTTTGGTTTTCAAATGGCTCCTACATCATTCCCATCTAATCGTCGCTGTCAAGTTATAAACCTCCTCTGGTACATATCAAGTGTAGGTGTGTAAGTAGAGCCTGTTGCTGGATTGTTGATCTGCTGTCATGAATTTTAATGTGTGAAGGAATTTCATTTTGGACTTGTTGAAAAATTTAGAGTGTAAGCTAGCCAGATGGCAAGACTCAGTTGATCAATGAATATCTATGTGAGAAATTCAAGAGAAGGGTATGGGTAATAAATACAGGCTCTGGTAACTAGGGAATGAGTAGTGCAGGAGTGTAGCTCAGTGGTAGAGAACTTGACCAGAATGTATAATGCCCTGGGTTTGATCCCCAGAACTGGAGAAAAAAAATGGATGGAAGTAAAGCCCCATCTGAGTAACTCGACCCCAGGGAGAAGTGTAATGGACAGAAGAACAGCAGACCAGGACTAAAGAGCATTTTAAACGCCACGTGGATGAGTAATGATGTGAAATGCCATAGAGACGGGCAGAGTAAAGAACAAACAGTGCTCATAATGTATTCTATCCTGTTGAATGTGGTGGCTCAAGCCTGCAGTCCCAGCACTGGAAGGGAGAGACAGGAAGGTCAGGAGTTCAAGGTGCATTACCACGCCCGGCTGGGATACCTCTCAGTATCTCAAGGGGCACTGTGGGTGAGAGTGAGGGTGGCTGGAACAAGGGTGGTCAGGGTTTAGGAGCCAAGCAGATGCGGGGGTAGATGTGGGTTCAGAACTGGACATCTTGCATCAGGGTTTCTAGAGAGGTCCATGAAGCAGTTGATCTCCAGTGTCTGGTTGAGGAAAATAATATGGATCAGAAAGGAGCTGGGGCCGGGCATGGTGGCACATGTCTGTAATCTCAGCCCTTGGTAAACTGAAGTAGAAAAATTGCAAGTTAGAGTTCTACCTGGGCAAGATTCTGTTTCATAAAACAAAAAGAGAAGAATATAGGCCTGGAGAGATGACTCAGGAGAGTGGGTAAGAGTGCCCCTACACAGCCCTCTCCTGCAGCCCCAGTGCATACAGGAGAATCGATGGGGCTTGCTGGCTGCTAGACCAACTCTAGGTTCAGTGAGAGACCCTGTCTCAGGGCAATAAGGCAAAGAGGGATAGGGCAGGACACCTAATGTCCTCCTCTGGCTTCCACATGCAGCCTTACCCCACACCCATACACCACATGTCCATCTACCAAAGAAAGGAAAGGGAAGCTGTATTGCCCCATAGGATGGTCCAGTGTGTCACAGCGCAGGGAAGAGGACAAAGGCTGTGCATGTATATGTGTTGTTAGGCAGAGAAGGCAGGGAGAAACTACTTGTGTGTGATCTGGGTTTGTCTTTCAATGACTCCAGAGAGACCAGTGAAAACTAGGCTAAAAGGCAAGAGGAGAGCCAGGGGCACATTGGAAATAAGACAAGGTTGATGGCTGACGCCCTTCCCTAGCAGGCAGCATGGTAAAGAGGAAGCTGTGAGAGGCTAAAGAGAAGCCCCACGTGGTAGGGACTTGCTGGAGGGGAGCTGTGACCAGGTCTGAGTGATTCTGGCAGGAAGGAGTAAACAGATGAGGTCAAAGGTAACTGAGTGGCCTGACAGTGTTTCCTCATACTTCCCAGGGGAAAACTGGAAAGAGAAAAAGGAGAGAGAGAAAAAAGCACTGTAGCACTCTGGAGACTGAGGCAGGAGGATTGCTGTGATCACAAGACCATCTTGGGTTACATAATGGATTCAAAGCTGAATTGAACTGCATAGCCAGACCCTTTTCCCCAAAATGGAAGGACCAATAGAAAGACAAAAAGAGCTGGATTCCCATGAGATGAGGTAGGGACAGCTCCGTAAGCCAGAAGAAAGGACTATCTGAATCAAAAGGCTAGGAGTCAGGGGTAGGGTTCTACTGAGAGCCTGTTAGCAAACAGGAAAGTACTTCCCACTTGATGTCTTCGGTTGTCCTGAAGCAGGACAGGTCATTTCTTTTTTTTTTTTTTTCCCAAGATGGTTTCTTTTGTGTAACAACAGCCCTGGCTGTCCTGGAACTCACTCTGTAGACCAGGCTGGCCTCAAACTCCCAACTCACAGAGATCTGCCTGTCTCTGCTCTCAAGTGCTGGTATTAAAGGTGTGTACCAAAAAAAAAAAAATATGACAGGCCATTTCTAAGAAGGCTAGGAGCAGAGGAGCAGAGAAGCGAGACAGGGAGGATATGGTGTAGGGCAGGCCGCCATGGCTTCTTCAGCAGTGTGCTGTTATCCCCAGCACAGACTGCAAGTAGGCAACTGGTTTTGTTATCTGCCTGGGCAAGAAGAGTGGGCACAGCAGCATGAGGGAGGAAGACTACAAACCTTGAGGAGAGAGCAGTCTCTAGAGACCACCAAGAAGAGGATGGAGGGATGGTCAGGCTCCTGAGTATAGGTGAGATGGGATGAGAAGAGCGAGGAGGGAAGGAAGAGGGGGCGCGGATCTGTGGCTGAGATCTTAGAGGCCACTGTTGTGGAGCTGGCACTGCCGCAGCTAAGTGGGAGCTCCTGATCACACTGACAAAGACCCCTTTAGACTGAGAGTCTTGGAAGGCAAAGCTATGGGTGCACAGACATCTAGGGTTCTGTCCCTACTTCACCACTGTTATACCCCAGAGAGTAGTCTGCAGAGCCTGTCCTCTAGGGCTCAGAGGTAGGCAGATGGTGCAGGAGGCAGCGTCACCAGCCGCTGATACTCTGGAAGATAAGTCAACTAAGGCAAAGCTGGAACTAAGTCTTCCAAGCCAGGCTAGGATACCTGGATAATGTGACTTCAAATTTTTCTTGTCCTCCCCATTTTGTCCACGTAATCCTAGTGTATCCCAAATAATGGAGTTTGAAAAGGCAATGCCCCCACATGCTCCCAAGTTCTGCCTGGTACCCTGGAAGTCCTGGGTGGCGACCATTGAATTGGTCACTGTGGAGCAGTTCTGATTCTTCCCATGGCTTTTTTTCTGTCCATACTATTTAACTGTCTCCAGAGAGCAGTACCGCTGAGCACCAGAGTTGTATTTCACTGCAGTTTTTGGAAAGGAAAACGAGTACCTTAGCTTTTGGATCCCTGTACTAAGCAGAGGGAAGCAGTTCTCTCTTAGATGGCTCTCCAAACGTGTGCACAAGCCTGCTGTCTGGCTGTGAGGCTGTACTAGGTACTGATCTCCCACAGTCAAGGCACACTTGTCGTTTTTAGAAGTGGGTACTAGAGTGGCAGCAGCTGCTCATAAAATGCCAACACGGGGAAAGGAGACCAAGGGCTTCCTTGGCCATCTGTGGGTGGCGTGGCTGAAGCTGGAGCAGGTACCTTCCAGTCCTCCCTCAAGCCTCCAAAAGCAGTTTCTTAGGGCCTGAAAAAGGCCAAAGTCCAGAACCTAGGAGCCCTCCTTGCACCTGCCCCTCAAAGGAGTAAGCATTCTTTTTTTACATTAATTTTTTTTTCAAAGGCTGCCCTTTGGCCTTGAGTTACATCCAGCTAACCTCAGGAACAGGTTGACCATTGTGTAAAGGGCTCAAGGCTACCTGGCATGGCTATCAATGGTCAGGGGTCACTGGGGATGTGACTCAATTAGTTGAGTACTTGCCTAGCCTACACTCAGCCCTGGGCTTGATTCCTAGTATTACATAAAACTAATAGTAGTGATGCAGGCCTGTAATCCAAGCACTTGGGGGGTGGAAGCTAATCAGAAGTTCAAGGTGATCTCCTGCCACACAGCAGCTTCAGAGACAGCCTGAGTTACAGGAGACCTTGTCTCAGATAAACAAATAGCAGGGACTAGGTATGGTCTCAAGTCTCTGCCCCAGTAACTGGAAAGTCTCTGGGCCAGACCCTGCCTGTTTGTCTTGTGGCTGCCAACTGTGGACTGCACCCTAGGGTGATTGCCAGCGCATTCTCTCAGCTGTTTGTCTACCTTGTTCACAGAGAGGTGGTGGGAAATAGAACATTCCTGGCTGCTCAAGCTCCCAGAAAGGGAAGGAAGCTAAGCTCCTTTGTGCTTGTAGCTGTTAGCACAGAGGCTCTGTGGCTCTTAGGCTCCTAAGCTACATGAGTGGTGGGGGCGGGCGCTGCCTGGGCAACTGAGCTGCTCCAGCTCCAGTTTATTCAGACGGATCCACATGGTGCACAGGGCTTCTCAGTGGCTGGGGGCTGCTTTCACTTTTCTTTTCCCAGCCCTTCACACTGGGATCATCCCCCAGCTGTCCTTAAATCCCAGACAGACCCTCAGTAGTCTCCACTACCCTATAGCAAAGGGATCTGAGGGAACCTCCTGTTGCGGGGAGCAGGGAACAACCACAGTCTCGAAGCAGGCTCAGGAAAGGGATCACAGGGATTCCTGTGAGAGAGAACATGAGGTGGTCCCTATCTGCTCCTTTTCTTTGAGACAGGGTTTCATGTAGCCTGGTCTCAAGCAAAAAATGACCTCGAACTTCTAGTCTTCCTGATTCTACCCCTCAAACACTGGCTCCTGAATGCCATGTGTTGAACCCAGAGCTTTGTGCTAGACAACCAACTATTCTACCAATTGAGCTACATTCTCAGCTCCCCAGTTCTTGCTTCTTACCTATCCTTCCCACCACGACAGTCATGGGGGCCGCTTCTGCTGAGGAAGAAGCCAGTCTGTTCCCCTGTGCATAGGGACAGGTTGGTTGTATGCTGGCTTGGAGGATGGTGCTGCTAAGAGTTTGCAGGACTGCCTGTGTCGGTGCTGCCTTTTTCGTGTCCTGTCGGTGCCATTCTGAGGGAGTCAGACAGAGGAAAGTGGTATTTTTGTTGTTGCTGACAAAGCTGTTTTCCAGAGCTTACTAGCTTTCCTGTGTCAGAGCCCTGTTGATGATAAAGCTAAAGGCTTCTTAAAGAACCACGCTCCTGCTACCTAGGCAACAGGTAGGGAAAGGACTAGGTGGATGTTTTCTGAAGATCTAAATCGGCTTCACACATGCTAGATAAGCCCCAAGCTGCATTCCTGATCTAGTGGATAGGATGTTAGAAGTCCAGGTGTCCTCTTTCCAGCTACAGATCTAGTCTATACAGATTGTATTGGTTTCTCCTTTAACTCTTTTTGGCATGAGAACAGGGAAAGTTCTATGAAAATATTTCCCTTAGTTGGGTTTTCCCAATATGCTGCCAAAGCCATCATATTGCCACATTCTTTTTTTCCCAAAGACAGAGTTTCTCTGTGTATCTCAGCCTGTCCTGGAACTCCCTCTATAGACCAGGCTGGCCTCGAACTCACAGAGATCCGCCTGCCTCTGCCTCTCTCAGTGCTGGGATTAAAGGTTTGTGCCACCACCGCCTGGCTGTATTGCTACATCTTAAACCTGAGCTTGACTCCTGGGTTGCACCCCTACTCCAACCATGAACTGCTCTTTTTCTGCCAAGCAAGTCCAGCTTAAGTTCCTTGGCTTCTCTGGTATTTATATTAGCTCCTGCCTCCTGCAGAGATGTGATACAGGTGTTGCAGGCAGCCAAACATGTTAGAATACACATGCATGTACATGTATGTGCACACACCTCTGCTCACATAACCGTTTTTGCCAATATTTGTGTGCTGAGGCACTCAGGCCCCCAGGGGACTAGACCTTGGTGTTTATTCCAGACCTTGGGTACCTGGATCACAAGAAGCTGAGTGACACCTGCTTCACTCCTTCCTTCCAGTCCTTGCAGTGCTGTTTATATCTTCTCTAGGAAGCCGGGCAGCTAACTGCTTAGCTAGTCCCGAGAATCCCGACTGGGTCTGCAGATCTTAAGATCTGTCTCTGCAACCGGGCAGTGGTGGCGCACGCCGTTAGTGCCAGCACTCGGGGGGCAGAGGCAGGCGGATCTCTGTGAGTTCGAGGCCAACATGGTCTACAGAGCGAGTTCCGGGAAGGCTCCAAAGCTACAGAGAAACCCTGTCTTGAAAAACAACAACAACAACAACAAAACAGATGGTGATCTAGCATTCTCTGTCCTCCCACTCCACAAAGGCATCATCGGGTGTCCTATAGGTCATAACCCTCCTGTGCTCAGTTTGCTAACTCCCCACTCGATCCTTGCCCCTCTGTGGGCATCTAGCATTGTTCTTCATTCACCTTCCTGCTGGCCCAATAGTCATTTCCTTCCAGATCTCAGCATGATTTGTCTTCCTGCTTCCCACTCTGTTTCTCTTCCCAGCTCCCACTTTCTGCCTACACCCTTCTCAGCTACACATGACATGACACACACACCAGGGATGGGTGCTCACTGTAGAAGGGCCTTTCTTGACTGTCTTCAGCCTCTGAGAACTCTAACCTCAGGCCTGCTGCTACCCTATAGACAAATGTGCGGTACAACATTCCTGTGTCCTCTGCCTCACTCTCAGCAATCAAGAGCTTGGGCCTCAGGGGCATTTCATGCATCAGCTTGACCAACCTGGATGGCTCACCAGCTTCGCACCAGGTACTGCAGTCTGTTGCTTACCACTTAGGCCCACACCTGGAGAGCTTATGCCTGGGAGGGGGCAGCCCCACAGAGGCATCCTTCTTGGCCTTGATCCTGGGATGCCCGGTCCTGCGCACCCTTGACCTCAGTGGCTGCAACAGTCTCTTCACGTCAGGCACTCTGCTGGCTCAGCCTGAGACAGCACAGTGTGTTCGAAAGGCATTGAGTGGCCTTCGTGATCTTAACCTGGCTGGCCTGCGTAACCTGACTGACCTTAGCTTCAACCATCTCAGCGGTTGTTTCCCCAGCCTGGAGCGCCTCTCCTTGGCCTATTGCCATCTTACCTTTGAGTTAGGCCCAACCTGGGGCTCCATTAGCCCCCAGGCGTCTTCTCCCTCCCAGCTTTCCTTTCACAACCTGCTTCAGTTTGTCAAAGAGAGAGCTGGTAGGCTGCGTGCCCTAGACCTCAGTGGTACTGGCTTGCCACCTGAGGCCCTACAAGCCCTGGGCCAAGTGACTGGACTGCAGCTGGAGGAGCTGAGCTTGCACAGCTGTAGAGACCTCTCCTCAGAGGCGGTGGCCACCCTTTGCCGCCAGCAGCCCGGCCTTACTTCCCTGGACCTCAGTGGTTGCTCAGAACTGACTGACGGGGCACTCTTGGCTGTGAGTCGAGGCCTGCAACACCTGCGGCACTTGAGTCTGAGGAAACTGCAGCGACTGACCGATGCAGGTTGTACAGCCCTGGGAGCCCTGCACGAACTGCAGAGCCTGGACATGGCTGAGTGCTGTCTGGTGAGTGGGCGGGAACTGGCGCAGGTCTTAGGCTCAGTTCGCAGAGCTCCACCGGCACTGACTTCCCTCAGGCTGGCTTACTGCTCTTCACTGAAGGTGAGTTACTTTCCTTCCCTTCCTGTCCAGGGGACCTGGGAGAGCTGGGCCTATGGCCTCAGGGACAGGCTAACCAGGGTTTGTGTCCCAGGAGAATAGTTAGAAATACATTTAGGATGTGGTCTAGAAGAGAACAACTTAGATAATATGGCAGAACAAGACTTTACTGCCCTCTCTGGCCTGTTTGATGAAGTGATCTCACACTGTATGTGAGTTCTAGAGGGAGGAAGTCGAGAGAAAAGGAGTGATAGAGAAAATGTGACAGAGATGGTGGGGCACGCCTTTAATCCCAGCACTCGGGAGGGAGGCAAAGGCAGGCGGGTCTCTGAGTTAGAGGCCAGCCTAGTCTATAAAGTGAATTCCAGGATAGCCAGGGACACACAGAGAAATCCTATCTGGAAAAAAAAGACAAAAAAAGGGGGGGTTGTTTTATATTGTATTGCACTGAAGAAGATATTCAGTAGGCAGGGCCTTGGGATGGATCACTTGGGAGCTGTAAGGTTAACTGTTAGCTGAAGTCAAGTCCTTCATAGAACTCAGCATTGTCCAATTGGATGGCATTCCTGTCTGAAAAATGTCAGCTGGTGCGTTGTTAGCCCTTTAACCTATTACTATGACAAGAGCATTCCGAACCTAAAACCTATCTCAACCTCATTTCATGGCAAGCACTCTGCCTAACAATTCCTTGGCCACTAGTGTCTCTTAGCTTTTCTACCAGGCCTCATGTTCTCATGCCCACCCAGCTCTCTGAATTTACACAGATTTCTGCTCTGCTTTTAGCCCTGCTACCCCCAGCTTCTCGTGGTAGTGGCAGCCCTAATGCTTCAGGTTCAAAATCTGTCGGAAGCACCTCTGATTGGCTCAGTTGTCCTGGTTCAGTGGGCTGTGATCAGTGTTGTCTCAGCCCATTCTTTCGACAGCACAGGCATAGCAGCTGCCTTAGAAATACCTATCTACATCCTTCCTTGTACCACACATAGTCATGGCCTTTGTGTCTTTCAGTAGCCTCCTCTGGTTCTCCCACCCTGTTCACTCCAAACTTTCACAACCAACACAGGACCATGGTGCGCTCATTCAGACCCTTGCTCATAACCCAACGATGCTCTTTTTTTTTTTTTTTTTTGCCCTCCTCCTAGGATGCCTCAGTGCTTTCCATGATCCCAGCATTGGGCCCAAGCCTCAAGGTGCTAGACTTGTCCTCCTGTGTGGCCCTCACTAACCAGACCGTGCAGGCCATCTGTACCTACCTTATTCACCTGTCAGTCCTGCGCCTGGCTTGGTGCAAGGAGCTCCAGGACTGGGGGCTTTTGGGGCTGAAGGAGCCAAGTGAGGAGCCTGGGCTAAGTTCCCAGGTATGAGATCCTTAGAAGCCGGGAGGGTGAGGTGACCTTGGTCTCAGCTGCCCTCTGCACTTCCTGAATCTTTAGCAAAACTTATGAAGAACCTAAGAAGTGGGAGTTTCTTCCCACAGCTACACCAAGAGGTGGAAAATCAGGCCCCAGACCCTCAAGAGCCTAAACCTGACCCACAAGGCCCCTCCCTGCTCATGCTTCAGACCCTGCAGGAGTTGGATCTCACAGCCTGCTGTAAGCTGACAGATGCCAGTTTGGCCAAGGTGTGAATAAGCTGAGGACATTGGGGCTGGTGCCAGGGGATTGGGCCAACCCATTTTGTTCTTGGAGTCCCTTTCTCTTTGGTTTCTGGTAGAGCAAGGAACCAGGAAGGGCCCAGGCTCTGGGTGCCAGTGCCATCCTGTGTCCCTATCCTTGCAGGTGCTCCAGTTCCCTCAGCTGAGGCAGTTATCATTGAGCCTGCTGCCAGCGCTCACAGACACGGGTTTGGTGGCTGTGGCTAGGGGCTGTCCCAGCCTGGAGCGCTTGGCATTGAGTCACTGCAGCCACCTCAGTGATGAGGGATGGGCTCAGGCAGCCAGGTTCTGGCCAAGGCTGCAACACCTCAACCTGTCCAGCTGCAGTCAGCTCACAGAGCAGTGAGTGTTTGATAGCCTTACATGGGCCACAATGCATGGGCTGGACTTGGATCCTACACCGGCTCAAGCACTCATCCCGTGGCCTTCTTACAGAACTCTGGATACCATTGGGCAGGCATGCAAGCAACTTCGAGTGTTGGATGTGGCTATGTGTCCTGGTATCAACATGGCAGCTGTCAGGCACTTCCAAGCGCAGCTCCCTCAGGTGACCTGCATCCAGTCTCGCTTCGTGGGAGGGGCTGACCTGACCCTAACACTTTGAGGCCAGGTCAGTTACTCTCCCTGAAGCTCGGCCTCCTTCAGCAGCATAGCCCCAGCCCAGGCCTCTGGACCTGTGTTAGCCCCAGGGCCTCTTGCCTTCCTTGCCCTAGAACCTTTTCTTAGACTCAGGACGGGACCAGTCCAGGATACATGCAGCCCCAGAGTACCCCACAGATGGCAGCAACCTCTTTCCAGCTGCACATTGCTTCCATGGGCTCTGTTCTAAAGGTTAGGGCCACAGGGGGTGCTGGGCCTGGTGCTGGGGAAGGGCAGACTCTGTGCCTCCTGCCAGTCTACCACTCAGACCTCTGTTTTGCCTGCCCTCCAGGGGTCTCTTCCAACCCTCCTGAGCTTTAGCAGTCAGTCCACCAACTTCATTGTAAACCCAAACAAGATTAAAAATTCCAGATTTTATGTCTTCCTCTGATGTTCTCAGACTAAACGGGCCCTCCCTTCTCCATCTCAGTTGACCATCTCAGAGATGGTCAGATGCCCCACACTGACTCCTCCACATGGGAAATTTTGGAGGCCTTCCCAGCACTTCTGGACATGCCCTGCTACACAGGCACTGGTCCTAACCAGACCTGGAAGCAGCCGTTACTAGATTCTTGTGCTGTCTTGGAGTAGGATAAGAAATAAGACAGCATCTCTGAGTAGGAGGGTCACAGGTGGTCATATAGTCCAAACCTTCTAATCAGTGCCATTGACTCAATAGCAGCTCTGGGGTGGTCCATGCAGTTGATCCTCTGTGTGTCTGTCTGTTTATCGGTTCTAGAAACAGCTAGTCTGTGCTGAGTACCTGCAGCCACTGGGCTTCAAGTTGGAATTCAGATGTGTCATTGTTCTCCCAATCACCAAATTAGATAGGGAGGTAAATAAGCCAGTAGGCAGGGACAGTCTGGTATGCAGGAGATGCATGAACAGAGAATTGGCACCGGGGGCAAGGAACCTAGGGTAGCAATGAACTTAGAGGGTCAAGGAAGACATCAAGGCAGTGAAAATGGCAAAAGGGGCATAGAGGTCAGATGGACAGACTGGAGCTGGTTCTGGTATGGAAGGGTGTATGTAGGCCCTGATTAGATACAGGGAGGATGCTAGCTTGGTAACAGGAACTCTGAAGACAAAACAGAAGGACTAAAACATGCCTATACAACTTGGCAGTTCCATTCAGTACTCAATCATGGTAACCATGGCAATAGAACAGTAGTGAGCTATTGAACAATATAGGATGTGTCTTAGTTACTGTTCTATTGCTGTAATGAAATATTATGACCAAGGCACTCATAAAGGAAGGTATTTAATGGGGAGGGGCTTGCTTACAGTTGCAGAGGGTTAGTCCATGACCATCATGGTGGGGGGTATACTGACAGGCAGACATGGCGCTGGAGCAGTAGCTAAGATCTTACTTCCCTATCCACAGGCAGAGAGGAAGCTAGATTGCACCTGGTATGGGCTTTTGAAACTTCAAAGCCCACTCCTAGTGCATACATACCCCCTCCAACATTGCTACACCTCCTAATCCCTCACAATCAGTTCCACTAACTGGGACCAAGCATTCAAACACATGAGCCCATGAGGGCCATTCTCATTCAAACCACCACAGGGTATATGTATGAGCATATAATCACATTAAATTTGCAATACTGGAATGGCAGCTGTTGAAATGATTAGAGAAGTAAGACTAGAAGCCAGAAGTCAGGGGGTTATTGCCAAGGTGGTGGTGGCATAGACAAGTAACTGAAGGTACGGAGAACTGACTGTATTGGGACACTAACTGCAACTGGGACCCCACCCTCCATTTCTACCTTAAAGTTGAAAGTCTCTTCTAAGTGTAGTAGCAAGGCTCTGTGTCCAAGCATGGATACTCTGAAGACGGGAAATGTAGTTTTGTTTTGTCCCCCTGCCCCCCAGGGCCAGCCATTTAATCAATTTTAAGGCACAACGTTGGTGAATAGCATGTTAAACACAGTATTTGAGGAGTAATGAATAGTATATAGAAGTTATTCAGGGTAGTGGTAGCTTTCAGCCTACCCTATGGACCCCTCGATTACTGAATTATTTGTCTTAGGGGCTTGGAGTTTGTGACTCCAGATGGACCCACCATGTCTCAGCACTTCTGCCCACACAGACTCTGGCTTGTCTGTGACTACCTCACGTATAATCATGGTTAGATCACGATTCTCTGTGCAGATTACCCCTTTGGATTTAACAGCCTTCTTCAGCTGTGCGTCTCTCCCTCATGCCTCTCACCAAAGGTTTCCACATCCCACATAGAACAAGGGAGGGCCAAGCAGTCTTGGGAATGAGAGCCGACTGTCAGGCGCCTTCTGAAAGCATGGCTTCCAGACAGACTCTATTGCTTTTGCCTAGGAAGGTATCCATCTGGGGCAATGTGTCCTGCCCTGGTACTTCTCTTTTCAGTTGGCCCACATCCCAGTCTCTCCTTTGGCTGCTACCTCAGATGGCAGGTCATCCCTCTCTTCATGTCCAGAACTGGGGACGCTAAGGACTTATTTCAAGAAGAGCAATAGTCCTTATTGGTTTCCACCCAACACCAGCTTTCCAAAGGTAGCTAGCTGTCCCGAGCATGTGGTCTTACCTGGTGCCCCTTACACCATTTACTATGTTTGAAGACATGCCTGTGTTTATCAACAGTCTTGGCCCCCAGGTTCAGAGCTGATGTGACACATACTTACAAGTCAAGCTAACTTTATTTTTGCTAGAGGCTCTGCTGGTCAGGTTGTCTGTGACTTTCACCCCTCTCTGTGGCTGCCATAGCAGCAGCAGCTGTGGCCCATGGCCAACTTCAGTCAAGGCTCAGTGATGCTGAAGTCATAGCAGAAGTTAAAATTGGTAGGGGGCGGGGGTACTGGGGGAGGCTGCTCAGGAATGGGCACATTCTCCAGTTCCAACAAGCGCAACTTGGTCTCCATAGTAAGCAGCTGCTCCAGGTCTAGCCGAGTCTGCTCACTGCCCATGGTGCTGCCCAGCAGGGCATTTAGCCCATCTGTCCACAGGTAGAACTAGGGATGAACAGGGCCAACTCAGTGCCTGCTTATCTGTTCCCTCTGCCCATCTACCCAACAGCGTAGCCCAGAAACTTACATCCCGCTTGGAAGGGGCAATGAAGTTAAGGAATGCTTCTTCCTCCCCATGGTCATAGCTGATGGAGAAAGCCAACTCATAGAGGTCCTAGGAAAGTGGGAGCAAGGACACTGAGTAGGGAACAAACAGAGTGGGATAGGAGGGGGCGTAGCCTCTGACCCTACCGCAGTCACCTTGTTCTGCTTCCCAGAGCCCTTCTCCCGGACATGGGGGCAGTCCTTGCCCATCAGGAGTGCCCTGATGTCTGCCACAGGGACTGTAGAAAGAAGATTTGGCTGACCACTGTGGCCCAAGGCTGACCCAAGATAAGGGGCATCTAGGGAGAGGGAGAACAGGTGTAGGAGCCCAAGCCCTTCCCTCCTTACGCTGCTCAGGTAGACTCTCCAGGGCGGGTGGGTTGGCACCCTCCTCCACATCCCCATACTGCAACACTTTGTGGTTAGGAGATAAACAGCAGAACCACAGCTTGTCTGCCGAAAAGGGAAGAGAGGAGTGATGAGGGGGGCTCTGAACACAAACACCCCCCACCCCACAACACCTTTAGCCCATTCAGAGACCCTGGCGTCTCCGGCTGCTGATCTTGCGGAAGAGCATTCCCTCACAGAGTCGGAGCAAACGCTGCTGGCGGATCAGGCTTATGAGCTCTGGCTTTAGCTTCTCCCGCAACTCCCTGGTTGGAGAGTGGGAGTCATTCACCAGGGTGAGCTGGAGCATGGTCCACAGGGCATTGAGGAAGGTGGGGACTGAGACTCACAGTATAGGAGGGGCCAGAGTGCCCTCCTGGTGCAGCCGTTCTGTCTGCCGCAGTCTCAGCACCTCCCCGTAGGTGAGAGCATTCACTTTGGTTCGGAAGAGTTCCAGGGAGGTGGGCTTCAGTGCCAGCGTCCGGGCTAGCTGCTCCCGAACCACTTGCATTACCTAGGATCCCACAAACTCAGTATAGGACCTGTGCTCAAGACCCCTTTCCAGAAGCACCCCCTGGCCCTGCTGCCTCCACCCCACCCACCTTGTCAAAATCCTCCTGTGTTGCCCGCATTTCCTTCCAGGTTTTATTCAGCAGCTGGATAGCCACACAGAAGAGCTCATGGAAACTATGGTCTTGGCTGAAGAACATGGGTGAGAAGTCCTGGGCAGTCTCGGAGCCTGGAGCGGGGGGGCAGGAGGGGCTCAGGGAGAAAGTGTCTACAGCCCCTGGCCCTCTCTGCCCTTCCGTCCCCTGACCCCAAATACACTGGATCTAGCTCAACTCACAAGGCTCCCCAACATGGAGCAGCTCACACAGCAACACTGTCAGCTGGATGCTGCTCTGGGCAAAGGGGCATTCATGCTTGTCCTCTCGGCTACTGTTCTCCAGCACAAACTAAGGCAGTGGGAATAGAGAACGGGAACAGGATCTCCATGGAGGCCCTGATGCATCTGGGCTGCTGCCACCCCTGGTGCCCCATTCTGTTACTAACCCGACTGTATGCACTAGGTGCATGTCTGGAGAAGTAGAGCATATTGTCCAGGGCCAGTAGGCCTGGGGGCACACGTTCCAGGTCCTGGGCTGGGTTGCTGTTCTAGAGATGAGAATGCAGGCAGCTCAGGAAGGGCCACGGTCCTAGAATAACTGCAGCCTGGGTGGAAGTCTGGGAACTAAGGAAGGGGTCACTCACAGAGAAGCCTAGCTTTCGGAACTCTCGGACACAGAGAGAACGGCGGCGGTCAGCACTCAGCCCTGTGCCAGAGGACTCCCCCTCTGGCTCAAAGGCTGCATGGCGCAGGGCCTGCAGTTGCTCCCGCTGTTCCTGAAGCCAATGGGGAGAAGCGTGTCAAGATCACAGGTTCAAAACAAAATTCTAGGGAACCCTCCAGCCTTTGTACCTCTGTGCACCTGGCTGTAGGGGTCAAGTGGTGTCCGCATGCGTGGCTCCAGCAACCCTAGCGTAAGAGCCTGCAGCACATACAGGTGGTGAGCCATCTCATCACCCATGGGTGCTGCACTGTGGATGATGTTCTGGAAAACAGCCAGGCTTGAGTAAGACTCCCTGGGAAAGGAGGACCGGCGAGAGGGTCTCCCGGGCCTGCCCCGTCCCACCTTGTAGATGAACTGGCGAAGATTCCTCTGCCATAGGTAGTCAAGCATGTGCTGCAGCGGGTGAGAAGGGGGTTCAGAGGATTCCGCTCTTAGCTGGAGCACAGCAGCCACCAGCTGCTGTTTCCCATTCTGTCACCCCGGACAGAGCACTCACCTGGCGTTCAGCAGAGCTGGCCCCCTGCAGCAGGGCTGTCAGCAATGCCATAGCCTTGGTTTGCAGCTGTTGGTTCAT